TTTGGCAGGTCCGGGCTGGGGATTCGAACCCGCCACCTTAGGTGTACGTGGCTGGCGCCTTAGCCGGTTGAGCTATAGGCGCCGAGCCTCTAATTACATTTCAATTACAAATTTTATAGAATGTGGTCACTGTCAAAAATCTAAAACACACACAAATGCAGATTATAAATTTTAAGTCCCTCCTTCCATGCCTGTCTCCTTTTTCTTTGAGACTCAGTGTTTCCCTAAATTCTTTTCCCCTGGAACTCATGTTGAACCCGTGAGCTCTGGCAGCCCACTTGCCTCAGCCTCCCAAGTGCTAGGATTATAGGTGTGAGCCACCATGCCCGGCTAACTTTTCCTCCTTTAAAAACTGTGTTTTTATGCCTGCAGACTTAACAAGGAAAAATGGACTGACGGAGATGTTTTTTTGGGCCTTAGCCCTGTTTGTCCTGTTAGGGTAATCCAGTGCCAGACCCCAATCACAAAGAAGGGATCAGTTGTTTACTTTCATGTGACCATGAAGGTCATGATGGTTTCTTTCCCACCCCCGGTTTTAGTTTATTAAGAGTTCACTTAAATTTTGGCTGGGCATGGTGGCGCATGCCTGTAGTTTTAGCTACTTGGGAGGTTGAGGCAGGAGGATACTTTAACCCAAGAGTTTGACATTGCTGTGAGCTACGATATTGCCACTGCACTCTTGCCTGGGCAATAGAGTAAAACTGTCTCAAAATAAAAGACCACACACAAAACTTTATTTTAAAATAATAGGAAAGGCTTGGCACCTGTAGCACAGTGGTTACAGTGTCAGCCACATACACTGAGGGTGGCGGGTTCAATCCCAGCCCGGGCTAGCTAAACAATGACAACTGCAACAAAAAATAGCTGGGCATTGTGGTGGGCACCTGTAGTCTTAGCCACTTGGGAGGCTAAGGCAAGAGAATTGCTTAAGCCCAAGAGTTATAACTGGTTGATGTGAGATGTGAAGGCATGGCACTCTAGCGAGGGTGACATAGTGAGACTCTGTCTCCAAAAAAAATATAATAAAAAGAATAAAATAAAATAAAATATGGGTGGTACCTGTGGCTCACTGGGTAGGGTGCTGGCCCCATATACTGATGGTGGAGGGTTCGAACCTGACCCCAGCCAAACTGCAACAAAAAATAGCTGGGCACTGTGGCGGGCACCTGTAGTCCCAGCTTCTTGGGAGGCTGAGGCAAGAGAATCACCTAAGCCCAAGAGTTGGAGGTTGCTGTGAGCTGTGACACCACAGCATTCTACCAAGGGCGACAGGGTAAGACTGTCTCAAAAAAATAAAATAAAATAATTCAAAAAGAGAATTTCAATTTACCTTAACTTCTGAAGCTCTTTCTGTGCATGTTCAATCATATGAACTAGATTTCTAAGATGGAAAAGAGAAAAATTACATTAAGATACATTCAAATCTAATAGTATCCAGTAAAAATGAACTATCTACTTCATACAAAGCCAAGTTTTTCTGCCAAAATAATAAATATTAGCTGGGTGCAGGGGCCTGCACCTGTAATCCTAGCATTCTGGGAGGCTAAGGTGGAAGGAGGAATTGGAGACCAGTCTAAGCAACAGTGAAACCCTGACTGTAACAAAAATAGAAAAATTAGTGAGGTGTTTTGGTGGGTACCTGTAGTTCCAGCTACTGGGGAAGCTGAGAAAAAAGGACTGCCTGAGCCCAAGAATTTGAGGTTGCTCTGAGGTATGATGCCATGGCACTCTACCCAGGGTGACAGAATAAGACTCTGTCCCCCCTCCAGAAAAAAAAAAAAAAAAAAAAAAGTCAGGATTTATTGAATTACCTATGGCAACTGCTAGTTAGGCACTTCATATATACTTAGCCAATTTAATTCTTACAGGAATTATCTGAGGTAGGTATGATTTATAACAGCAATTTCACACGTGGAGAAAACAATGGCTAGGAAGATGAAATCACTTGGTCAAGGTACCAGTGGTTAAGTGTCAGAGCTAGGTTCTATTTCAGGTCTTGTAAACTCTACAGCAGGGATTTTCAACTGGTGTGCTGTGAAAGCATCTTAGGTGAGTAGAGAAAATTGTTTTTAAAGATCATTAATTTTTTTTTTTTCTTGAGACAGAACCTCAAGCTGTCACCCTGGGCAGAGTGCCATGTCATCACAGCTCACAGCAACCTCCAACTCCTGGGCTCAAGCGAGTCTCCTGTCTCCACCTTCCAAATAGCTGGGATTACAGGCACCCGTCACAACACCCGGATATTTTTTTGTTGCAACTGTCATTGTTCTTTGGTGGGCCCGGGCTGGATTCGAACCTGCCAGCTCAGGTGTACATGGTTGGAGCCTTAGCTGCTTGAGCCACAGGTGCCGAGCCAAGATCGTTCATTTTTGAAAGAAGTTTAATCATGGTAAGTATATTCTTTTTTTAAAGTTATTTTTATAAACTTTTTTTTTTTTGAAGTTTTTGGCCGGGGTTGGGTTTGAACCCACCTGGCATATGGGGCTGGTGCCCTACTCCTTTGAGCCACAGGCGCCACCTTAAAGTTATTTTTATTTTTTTGAGACAGTCTCACTTTGTCACCTGGATAGCGTGCCATGGAATCACAGTTCACAGCAGCCTCAAACTCTTGGACTCAAGTGATCCTCTTGCCTCAGCCAAGTAGCTGGGACTACAGGCACCTGCCACAAGACTTGGCTAATTTTTCTATTTTTTAGTAGAAATGGGGTCTTACTCTTACTGAGGCTGGTCTAGAACTCCTGAGCTCAAGCAATCCACTCACCTCAGCTTCCCAAAGTGCTAGACTCAGGTATGAGTCATCATCCCAGCTTTCACTCTGTTTTGGGGATCAACCTAATTTAAGTGTGGAAGTTTAACTATAGGTTCAAGTGTGCTGTGACATACAAAAGGTTGAAAGACACTGCTGTAGAACCAAGCAGTTTACTATACTTTTTGAGTACTTATGTCACTTCTTAAATAGTTATGAGTTTTCTACCTTTTTTTTTTTTAAATTTCTTTTGTAGTTTTTGGTCAGGGCCAGGTTTGAACCCGCCACCTCCGGTATATGGGGCTGGCGCAATAGTTATGAGTTTTCATAGAGAAAATGGAATATATCTGAAAAGTACAACCACTTTTGTCTCTGCATTTCCAACTCCCTTTTATTACCGTATTTCTGTATCTATCTTATCTTCTCTTGTTTACTGCTAACTAGAGAGAGAGGAGAGGAAAAGAAAACCATAGTAGAAGGCTAGATTTGAATAACAGTCCAAGTCAGCTTTAATAAGCACAAATCAGAAATTCAACAATACACAGCACCACGTGCTGATTATCATAAAAGATGTAATTCAATAGATTTCAACTTTTTTTTTTTTTTTGAGACAGGAGCCTCAAGTTGTCCCCCTGGGTAGAGTGCCGTGGCATCTCAGCTCACAGCAACCTCCAACTCCTGGCCTCAAGCGAGCCTCCTGCCTCCGCCTCCCAAGTAGCTGGGACCACAGGCACCCGCCACAATGCCTGGCTATTTTTTGGTTGCAACTGTCATTGTTGTTTGGCGGGTCCGGGCTGGATTTGAACCGCCACCTTGGGTGTACTGGTGCCTTAGCCACTTGAGCCACAGGCGCTAAGCCGATTTCAACTTTTTAAAAATTTAAGTAAGTTTTATTGAGATGTAATTCTATATTCTATCAATTTCCTCTTAAGGCAGTGGATGAATTACCATAGGCTCCATTTCAAGTGCACTCAGCTCTCCTTGTGTTCTTGCTCTCAATCCAATATTGCTTCCTAGCTTTTCTGACGTATTTTCTGCCACTTGCCTGAGTTACTTTCCTGTTTTTACTAAGTGGTTTCCTTGCTCTATCTGTAATTCTCTCACAATTAGTTGTGCCTTTCTAAGCTTTCCCTCAGCTCATTCTAATTTCCTTGGTTTCAACAATCACTCCGTGCTGAAGACTATTACTTTTAGGGCTCTATTCCTGACCTGACCACTGATGAGGAGCTTTCCTGTACGTGACTGCTCCCCGAGTTTGTCGTCCTCTCCCTTCTCTTGCCTTCCCTCTTAAATTTACTTTGATAGAAAATACACATATCCTCTGCATAAATACCCAATGGATTAGGAGGAGACAAAATATGCTCAGGCGGATGTTAAACTCTACAGAGTACTAAGTGAGTAAATTGAAAACAAGAGAGGGCTCAGCGCCTGTGGCTCAAGTGGCTAAGGCGCCAGCCACATACACCCAAGGTGGCAGGTTCGAATCCAGCCCGGGCCCTCCAAACAACAATGAAGGCTGCAACCAAAAAAAATAGCCGGGTGTTGTGGCGGGTGCTGTGGTCCCAGCTACTGGGGAGGCTGAGGCAGGAGACTCATTTGAGGAGTTGGAGGCTGCTGTGAGCTGTGATGCTACTGCATTCTACCCAGGGGGACAGCTTGAGGCTGTGTCTCAAAAAAAAAAAAAAAAAAAAGAACAGGGAAACAGTATAAAAGGCAGAATTACAATCAGGAAAATAAGAAAGCAGATTAGAGCTTGGCCCAAACAAGTTGAATTTTGGCAGAACAGCTATAGGATTCCAGGAGGCACTGCATAAGCAGAGGGCCAGTAGCAGGATTTATGACAATCACCAGAGAGGGGACTAATTTGATATGAGTTAAACGTTTATAATTGAGTCAGGCACAGTGGCTCACACCTGTAATCCCAGCACTTGGGAGGCTGAGGCAGGTGGATTGCCTGAGCTCACAGGTTTGAGACCAGCCTGAGCCAGAGCGAGATCTCATTTCTAAAAATATAGCTGGGTATTGTGGTGGGCGCCTGTAGTTCCAGCTACTTGGGAGGCTGAGGCAAGAGAATTGCTTAAGACCAAGAGTTTTTTTTTTTGAGACAGAGCCTCAAGCTATTGCCCCAGGTAGAGTGCCGTGGCATCATAGCTCACAGCAACCTCCAGCTCCTGGGCTCAAGTGATTCTCCTGCCTCCGCCTCCCAAGTAGCTGGGACTACAGGCTCCTGCCACAACGCCCGGCTGTTTTTTGGTTGCAGCCATCATTGTTGTTTGGCAGGCCCAGGCTGGATTTGAACCTGCCAGCTCAGGGGTGTGTGGCTGGCACCTTAGCTGCTTGAGCCATAGGCACTGAGCCAAGCCCAAGAGTTTGAGGTTGCTGTGAGCTGTGATGCCATGGCATTCTACTAAGGACAACATAGTGAGACTCTGTTTCAAAAAAAAAAAGGAAAGGCCTCAAAAACCATGTGAAATAGTCTAGACCTTACCTTGAGGGTAACAGGGAATTAGTAAAGGTTTTCAGACAAGTTGAAAGCAATGTTCTTGCTGGGTGCAGTGTCTCATGCCTGTAATCCTAGCACTCTGGGAGGCCGAGGCAGGTGGATTGCCTGAGCTCAGGAGTTTGAGACCAGCCTGAGCCAGAGCAAGACCCTGTCTCTACTAAAAATAGAAAAAACTGAGACAAGAGGATGGCTTGAGCCCAAAAGTTGGAGGTTGCTGTGAGCTATGACGCCATAGGCACTCTACCCAGGGTGGTAGCTTGAGACTCTGACTCCACAACAAACAAAAAATACAAAGAAAAAAAGAAAAAAAAAGGCAATTTAAAAAATTTAATTATTTTTTCTTCTGTACCTATGTTTTCTGCCATTCCTCAAATGTTGTCCTTGCTTTTTTCTGAACATCCCAAATCTCACTCTTCCTTAAGAACCCTCATTAGTAAAGTTCCTTCTCTGAGTAGCTTAGTTTACAGACCACAGCACATAACGTAGTACTTGCCAGTCTGCCATAAATGGACTACTGCTTACTTGGCATAGAACTTCTTGTCTCCTCAACTAAATAAAGCTTCATGAGGATAAGGATCACATTTTTCTACATTGTGAAATATGTTTTCGATTAATTTCTTTCTTTTTTTGTTTTCAGACATAGTCTCACTATGTCACTCTTGGTAGAGGGCCCTAGTGTCACAGCTAATAGCCACCTCTAACTCTTGGGCTTAAGTGATCCTCTTGCCTCAGCCTCTCAAGTAGCTGGGACTATAGTTGCTGGCCACAATGCCTGGCTATTTTTTGTTGCAGTTGTCACTGTCGTCTAGTAGGCCCAAGCCAGGTTCGAATCTACCTGCCTCAATGTATGTGGCTGGTGCCTTAACCACTGAGCTACAGGCGCCAATCCTTGATGAATTTCTTACCTTTCTCAATCACCCTAATTCTATTCTTCCTTTCCTCCCTTTGCAATGAATTCACAAAAACAACTGTTTTGTGCAGTGTCCCCAATTCTAGATTTAGCCCACTGGATTGTTATGTGGTTACACAAATTTAAAGCATAATTCTGAAGATTTAAGAAAATGTAGGGGGCGGGCGCGCCGAGTGGGCCTCATGGCTGCCGCTCCGGAGCCCGGCGAGCCCGGGAAGCGGAAGCCATTTAAGCTCCTAGGAATTTTAGATGCTGAAAACATTCCCTGTGCACGGGATTCGGTATTATATGGTTCATTAGGAGCTGTCGTGGCTGGCCTTGGACATTTTTTGTTAACTAGCAGAATCAGAAGATCATGTGATGTTGGAGTAGGAGGATTCATGTTGGTGACTTTAGGATGCTGGTTCCATTGTAGGTATAATTATGCAAAGCAGAGAATTCAAGAAAGAATTGCCAGACAAGGAATTAAAAATAAGATATTATATGAAAGCACCCACCTTGATCCTGAAACAAAACAAACCAACAGCAACAGCAGCAATTAAGCAATCTGATCATAGAAAATGAATGTGAACAAAGCTGAGATTAACCACATAAAGCATTTTATGTACACTAAGCTGGCAATCAAGTAAATAAAGTACGTCTAAGTTTAAAAAAAAAAAAAAGAAAGAAAGAAAATGTAGTTGTCATATTGCAGTTTTGCTTTAAGCAGCTATGGTTCAGGAAAACATAAGAAAAATTTTACATATAGTCATGAGGTTCAATGACTCTTTCCATTAAATTATTAACAGTAGGCTGGGCATGGTGGCTTATGCCTATAATCCTAGCACTTTGGGAGTCCGAGGCGGGTGGATCACTTGAGCCTAAGAGTTTGAGGATGCTGTGAGCTATGATGCCACAGCACTCTACCAAAGGTGACAAAGTGACCAAAAAAAAAAAATGTTAATAGACACTCAGGAAATTCTAAGGCTCAAAGGGGCTAGAGATAATATAACCACTGAATTTTACACGCAAAGAAAATGAACTCTAGATAGACAATAAATACTAAAACTAAAGCCAGTTACATGGAACAGAAACAGTAGATCAGTGGCTTGTTTTGGCAGCAAAATCCTTTCTGGTGTGAATTCCTTATTTATAGTTTAGATTCTCATTATTCACAGATTCTATATTTATGTCTACTCAAGTTTATTTGTAGTCTAAAATGACTACTTATAGTGCTTTGCAGTCATTCATGGACACGTGCACAGCAGTGAAAATCTGGGTTGCTGGGCATGCACTTTTCCAGCTGAAGTTAAGCAAGGAGATGCTCTGCATTCTTGCTTTAGCTCCCAAACAGAAATAAGGACAGGACGGAGTTTACTTTCCAAGTCTGGCATTGTTTACAGGGGTGGTCTCAATCAAGTTGCTTTGTATGTCTGAATCCTTAAGTACTACACAAAAAATGCGGCAGTTAGGTTTATGTAGGTCCTCTTAGAACTGTGAGTTGCTAGGTGGTTCTCAAAGTAGTAGTCTTTTTTAATTTTTTTTTTTGAGACAGAGTCTCAAGCTGTCACCCTGGTAGAGTGCTGTGGCATCACAGCTTGCGGCAATCTCCAATTCTTGGGCTTAAGTGATTCTCTTGCCTCAGCTTCCCAAGTAGCTGGGACTACAGGTGCCTGCCACAATGCCCGGCCATTTTTTGGTTGCATTTGTGATTGTTGCTTAGCAGACCTGAGCTGGATCTGAACCTGCCACTCTAGGTGTACGTGGCCAGCCCCCTTGCCAACTGAGCTATGAGTGCTGCCAATGTAGTGGTCTTATGGGATCCCAGGTCAAAGTCTAGCTATATTATTATTATTTTTTTTTTTTTGAGGCAGAGTCTCACTCTGTCCCCCTGGGTAGAGTGTCCTGGTGTCATAGCTTGTTAGCAACCTCAAGCTCTTGGGCTCAAGAGAGCCTCTTGAGGTGGTGCTTGCCACATACACTAAGGCTGGTGGGTTTGAACCCGGTCCAGGGCAGGTAAACAACAATGACAACTACAACCAAAAAATAGCCAGGTGTTGTGGCAAGTGCCTATAGTCCCACGGGGGTCTCACTATTGCTCAGTCTGGTCTCGAACTCCTGAGGTCAGGTGATTTACTCACCTCAGCCTCCTGGAGTGCTGGGATTACAGGTGTCAAACCACCATACCTGGCCCACTTTTTCTTTTGAGGCAAGAGTCTCACTTTGTCAACTTTGGTAGAGTGCCGTGGCATTATAGCTAACAGCAACCTCAAACTTTTGGGCTCAAGTGATCCTCCTGCCTCAGCTTTCCAAGTAGCTGGGATTATAGGAACCTGCTACAATGCCCAGCTAGTTTTAGAGACAGGGTCTTGCTCTTGCTCAGGGTGGGCTCAAACTCCTAAGCTTAAGCAATCCATCTGCCTCGGCCTCCAGAGTGCTATGATTACAGGTGTGAGCCACTGTGCTGGCCTTTAGCTATATATTTCCCTACTCTACCTCCCGAATTTTTAAAAAATACTAAAATTTTCAATGGGATGGGGTTTTACCAAAAGAGAAAAAAGAAAGTTTCTTACTCATTATATACTTTCCAGGCATTACATCCATGCTGTGACATCAGTTCCAAATTCTCAATTCGAACTGCCTGATGCTCTAACTGGGCCATAGAATTGTTTACACATTCTTGCCATGCTGTAATGTCATTTTTCTGGCCTGAGGAAGGAGCTGGAAGTTCATATCTGAAATTAACAAAATAAATAAAGCAAGTCTTTGTATCTTTTTCCAACAGAATGCCCCATGGGCTTATGGACATTTTAAAAACTACAGAAAACTGAAGATGCAAACCTGTAATAAAAAATCTATAGGCTGGGCATGGTGGCTCGCACCTGTAACCGCAGCACTCTAGGAGATTAAGGTGGGAGGATCCCTTGAGTTCAAGAGTTTGAGACCAGTCTGAGCATGAGCAATATGCCACCTCTACTAAAAATAGAAAAATTAGCAGAAAGTTATGGGTGCCTATAGTCTCAGCTACTTGGGAGGCTGAGGCAGGAGGAATGGTTAAACCTAGGAGTTTGAGGTCACTGTGAACTAGGCTTAGGCCAGCAGTTCTCAATCTGTGGTTTGTGACCCCTTGGGAGGTTGAACGACCCTTTCCCAGGGGTCACCTAAGACCATTCTGCATATCAGATATTTACATTACGATTCGTAACAGTAGCAAAATTACAGTTATCAAGTAGCAATGAAAATAATTTTATGACTGGGGGTCACCACAACATGAGGAACTGTATTAAAGGGTCGCGGCATTAGGAAAATTGAGAACCACTGGCTCAGGCAATGCCACTCTGGCCTGGGCAACAGAGTGAGATTCTGCCTCAAGAACCCCTCCCCAACCCACCTATATATCCTAAGCATCAATTTACAAACAAAATTTAGCACCACTGGTGGTGCCTGTGGCTCAAAAGGGTAGGACGCCAGCCCCATATGCCAGAGGTGGTGGGTTCAAACCCAGCCCTGGCCAAAAAAAAAAAAAAATAGCATCATTATATACAGTAACAATGATTCACTTCAATGTGATCTGGTTAAATAAGCTATTATTACATTCATACATAAATAAATGTTATGCTAGCTATTAAATGATGTTATTGAAAAATATCTAATAGTATTAAGATATATTAGGGAATGGGGCAGCACCTGTGGCTCAAAGGAGTAAGGTGCCAGCCCCATATGCTGGAGGTGGCAGGTTCAAACCCAGCCCCTGGCCAAAAACTGCAAAAAAACCCAAAAAACAAAAGATATATTAGGGAAAAAAATGAGTTATAAAAAACTTGGCTACCAGTTTTATAAAATATCCACAACCACCCATTCACTAAGGTAGCCATACCCTCTGTAGAGGAAAAAAATGATGAAGGATACAATAATTTTTCACATTCAGACCCCACTCCATTACCTTACCATACTACCCAGTCCTTCAACACTGCCAACAGAGCCAGCAAGTATATGCTTCATAAATCTCAGCTCATTATTATTATAAACTGAACTTGAATTAAAATTTTAACACTCTTACCGTTTCATACTGAGCAATTCAATTGGTTGTCGAGCAGCCAGTCTTTCAAATTCATTTCTCATTATGTCAGTCTGATGTATAAATAAGAGAAATAATTATTTCCACGATCATAATCATATTCACAAACTAAAAGTAATCATTACTGAACAGGCTGGGCGAGCAGCTCTTGTCTATAATCCTAGCACTGTGGAAGGATTGCTTGAGCTCAGGAGTTCGAGACCAGCCTGAGCAAAAGTAAGACCCCTATCTCTGCTAAAAATAGAAAAACTAGTTGTGCATTATGGTGGGTGCCCATAGTCCCAGCTACTCAGGAGGCTGAGGCAAAGGACTGCTTGAGCCCAAGAGTTTGAGGTTGGTATGAGCTTTGATGCCACAGCAATCTATTGAGGTTGACATAATGAGATTGTTCCCCCAAAGTTAAAAAAAACCCCAAATCAATTAAATAATGGATTTAAACTATGTGGGTATTTATTCTTTTTTTCTTTTCTTTCTTTTTTTTTTTTTTTTTGAGACAGATCCTCAAGCTGTCCTCCTGGGTAGAGTGCTATGGCTTCAGGGCTCACAGCAACCTCCAACTCCTGGGCTCAAGCAAGTCTCCTGCCTCCGCCTCCCAAGTAGCTGGGACCACAGACACCTGCCACAACGCTCGGCTATTTTTTGGTTGCAGCCATTATTGTTGTTTGGCGGGTCCAGGCTGGATTCGAACCCGCCACCTTAGGTGTATGTGGCTGGCGCTTAGCCGCTTGAGCCACAGGCGCCAAGCCTCTTTTTTATTTTTGAGAGTCTTGCTCTGTTACACAGGATAGAATGCTGTGGCATCATAGCTCACAGCAACCTCAAATTCCTGGGTTCAACGTATCCTTCTGTCTCAGCCTGGGAGAGTAGCTGGGACTATTGGTGACAATACCACCTGACTAATTTTTCTATTTTTTTGAGACAGAATGTCACTTTGTCACACTCAGTGCCAGAGTGCCGTGGCGTTATAGTTCATAGCAACCTCAAACTCTTGGGCTCAAGTGATCCCCTTGCCTCAGCCTCCAGAGTAGTTGGGACTACCAGCATCCATCACAATGCCTGGCTATTTTTAAAGGCGGGGTCTTGCTCTTGCTCAGGCTGGTGTTGAATTCATGAGCTCAAGCAATCCACCCACCTGGGCCTTCCATAGTGCTAGGATTATAGGCATGAGCCACCACACCCAGACTAATTTTTCTATTTATAATATAGAGAGGTTCCTACTCCTGCTGAGGCTGGTCTTGTACTCCTGAGTTCAAGAGTTCCTCCCACCTAGGCATCCCAGGGTGCTAGGAATACTGATGTGAGCCACCTCCCCGGCCTAGGTATTTATAACGGATCATTTCCCATCTCTTAATTCTCTGGGTTAAATGCTTGCTAGGAGGGTGGCGCCTGTGGCTTAGTGGGTATGATGCTAGCCCCATATAACAAGGGTGGTGGTTTCGAACCCAGCCCTGGCCAAACTGCAACAAAAAAATAGCCAGGCATTGTAGTGGGTACCTGCAGTCCCAGATACTTCGGAGGCTGAGGCAACAGAAACACCTGAGTCCAGGAGTTGGAGGTTACTGTGAGCTGTGACTACACAGCACTCTACCAAGGGTGATAAAGTGAGACTCTGTCTCAAAAAAAAAAAAAAAAAAAAATGCTTGCTAGGTACCTAGCCCCACACTACACACGTATTTTATTTACTGTGTTTCCCAGAAAATAAGACCTACCCCCCAAATAAGCCCTAGCAGGATGTCTATGCATTTGTTAAATATAAGCCCTACCCCATAACAAGACCCAGTGATGGGTGTGGCTATGCAGCATATCTACATAGCCATGCCATGCATTTTGGTGTGGAACAGTAAGGAAGAGTGGAATACCTTTTATCTGCCACAGCTCCTTTCTCTGAGCCATTTGCACTTGCACGGGTGCGCATGTGGTAACCACTGTCACAGGCATCCTATTGTGCATGTGTGAATGGCTAGGGGAAAGGAGTTCAAGCATCACTAGCACTAGCCCCACCAACAAGGTCGGCTCCCCCTGTCAGGTTCCAGAAGAAGATGACTTAACTGTATTTGAATAAATGTAGATTGTTGTATTATGCTTAATAAAAATAAGACATCCCCTGAAAATAAGTCCTAGTGTGCCTTCTCGAGAAAAAATAAATATAAGACAGTGTCTCATTTTCAGGGAAACCTGGTATTTATTTATTTATTTTGAGACAGAGTCTTTGTCTTTGTTGCACTTTGTAGAGTGCTATGGCATCATAGCTCACAGCAACCTCAAACTCTTGGGCTCTGGCGATCCTCTTGCCTCAGTTTCTCTATTTTTAGTAGAGCCAGGTTCTCTTGCTTGCTTGGGCTGGTCCTGAACTCACAAGCTCAAATGATCCACTCGTCTTGGCTTCCCAGATTGCTAGGATGACAGAAGTGAGCCAACCATACCAACCTCCACACACATATTTTAATTCCATATTGAGTAGAAAAGGTAGTATACAGGTTGTCTATAAAGTTTGTGTATAATTTACTATGTTAAACTATTTTAAATTGCACATGAACTTTATGTTCACCCTGTATATAAAGAAACCCAGAGAAAAAGATTAATTTTAAATGAGTAGTTCTCAATCTCAGCAGCATATAAGAATCAAACAGCCGGGTGTTGTGGAGGGCACCTGTAGTCCCAGCGACTTTGGAGGCTGAAGCAAGAGAATCGCTTAAGTCTAAGAGTTGGAGGTTGCTGTAAGATGTGACATCACAGCATTCTACCAAGGGCGACACAGTGAGACTCTGACTCGAAATAAAACAGAACAAAACACTGAAATGTGCCTACTGTGTTCCAGGCACTGTTGTAGGCAATAAAGACGACAAAAAATTTCCCTGCTCATGGAACAGTGCTATCTTAGCTTAGATAGGCCTTCCTCGACCATCTGATCTAGTCACACAACCACTCTATCACATCACTACTGTAATTCTCTGTATTTATCAACAATCTGGTATTTTCTCATTTGTCTATTTTTACACTCTGGAATGTAAGGCCAATGAAACTCTGGATCTTTCCTATCCTGTTCTCTAATATCCAGCATAGAACAGACCTTCATAAATAGTTGTTAAATGAATAAATGGAAGAACAGTTTCAAAGGCAATCTGAAGAACAGTTAAGTTTCCCACCTAAAAGAAAATGGGGATAATAAACAGAGTTACACAGTTTAATTAGTTAAATAATTAGAGATTTGGTCTTGCTCTGTCACTCACTGGAATGCAGTGGCACGATCATAGCTCACCACAGCCTCAAACTCCTGAGCTCTCAGGATTCTCGTGCCTCAGCATCCTCATCCCAGAGTAGCTGGACTATAGTTGCACATCATCATTCTTGACTAATTTTTTAAATTTTCTGTAGACATAGGATAGGGTCTTGGTATGTTGCCCAGGCTGTTCTTAAAATTCTGGCCTCAAGTGATCTTCACCTTAGACTCCGCAAGTGCTGGTAGCAGTGTCCCTGGCTGTACTTAGTTCTTTTTTTTTTTTCTTTTTTTGAGACAGAGTCTCACTAGGTAGAGTGCCATGGTGTCCTCACAGCTCACTGCAACCTCCAATTCCTGGGATCCAGCAATCCTCTTCTGTCAGTCTCCCGAGTATCTGTGACTACCGGTGCCTGCCAAAATGCCTGGCTACTTTTAGAGATGGGTCTCACTCTTGCTCAGGGTGGTCTCAAACTCCTTAGCTTAGGCAATCTACACACCTCAGCATCCCAGAATGCTAGGATTACAGGCATAAGCC